CTGTCTTTTAGTCGTGTTTTGGATTCTTCCAGCAGCCATCCCCCCCCCTTCCTCATCCCCCAAATTAATGGGAGAAATTATTTAACATCCCGAGGCACATGTCATTCTGATACACGAGGAGGACATAAGCCTTAGGGAGTGATATTATGACACCAGTTTCCAACTGTTCATTAAACAGAGATGAAGGGGGGGGGAAGGGTCCCCGAACAAGGTCACTCGTATTTTATTTCATTTTATTTAAAGCTGTCTGGAGGCAGAGAAATTTGTTGCAAACCGATTGGGAAACAAAGGGCAGGGGAAATAACTCCTTCCTGATCTCCCTCCCTCTCTTCCTCCCTCCTTCCCCCCCCAAAAAAATACCCAGCAGGGAAAAACAGATACCAGCGGCCTGACGATAATCTTGCAGAGTGGCTGGGTGCCCACCAAGAGGTCAGTTAGAGAATTAGCAGAGGAATTAACCTTGGGACATTCGCGGTTTCGGCTCAACGAAGCCTGTGACGCCAACTGAGCCACTTTGGTGCTAAACATCAAAGCCGGAATCCATTTATAAAACCATGTCGTCGACCCATCTGGTCCACCCTCCAGATGACGGGATGAAAACGCAGGCGGTCCTCGGCTCACGAGCCCAAACTTTCCGTGGCTAAGCGAGACCGTGGTTTCAGTGAGTTTTGCCGCATTTTACGACCTGGCTCAATGAGTTGACACGGTTGTTGAAGGAATCTGGCCTTCCCCGTTGACTTGGCTTGTTGGAAGATCACAAAAGGGGATCACGTGATGCCCCAGGCACAGGGCAACTATCGTAAATATGAGTCGGTTGCCAAGTGTCTGGATTTCGATCGCGTGACCGTGAGGATGCTGTGATGGTCATCAGTGTGAAAAAGGGTCTTAAGTCACCTAAAACAGTCTTAAGTCACATAAAACAGTCTTAAGTCACTTAAAACGGTCTTAAGTCACTTAAAGGTCTTAAGTCACTTAAAGGTCTTAAAACAGTCTTAAGTCACTTAAAACAGACTTAAGTGTCTTAAAACAGTCTTAAGTCACTTAAAATGGACTTAAGTCATGTAATGGTCTTAAAACAGTCTTAAGTTACTTAAAACAGATTTAAGTGTCTTAAAATAGTCTTAAGTCACTTAAAACAGTCTTAAGTCACTTAAAATGGACTTAAGTCACTTTAAGTGAAAACTCACTTAACAACTGTATGGCTTAGCAACAGAAATTATGAGCTCAAATTTGGACTACCTATAGCTCTTATTCCTGGCAATCTTTTAGCTTCTTCAACCTTCCTCAAATGATGTACATCAGATGCATCATTTCTCTCTCTGACTATAACACAATTGTCTCCTCTTTGTGCTGCCAGAGTCTGGTGGGCCCTTCCACCCAACTCAGCTCATATTTGCTTGCGGTCAAGCGAAATCAATTTGATTATGAGGATCTTGCAAAAGGCTTGCCCTGTAAAACACTTCCCTAAAGGCCGTGCTGGATTTTATTCCATCAGATTCCCCTCATCTATTAATTTCACAGTTCTAATTTTAATGAGCCACCCATTAAAGCTTTCTTGGCAATAGTTGGAGTCGATCACCCATGGTGGTTTAATTGCTCATAAAACTGTCTTGCTAAAGTTCTCCCTCTCGGATATTCAAATCAGGGGCTGAAATGAGACGTGTCCATCAAACGTCCGCTTAGGAAGGTCTTCATCTTACCTGGAAACAGAGCTTGCAGAAGAAGTGGGGGGTTAAGCTATTCTCCAAAGCCCCTGAAGGCACGACAAGAAACAATGGATGGAAACTAATCGAGGAGAGAAGCAACCTAGAACTAAGGAGGAATTTCCTAACAGCGAGGACAATTAACCAGTGGAACGGCTTGCCACCAGAAGCTGTGGGTGCTCCACCTCTTTTAAAGAAGAGACTGGACAACCAGTTGTCTGAAATTGTATAGGGTCTCCTGCCCAAGCAGGGGGTTGGACTAGATGACCTCCAAGGTCTCTTCTAATTCTGTTATTCCGTAAATTCTGTTGTTCTGCTTCTCTCTCCATTGCAAGCTACCAAAAAGTAATTTGTTAGAACAGACCAAATTCCAGCTCATCCACTTGCTTTAATAACCATACTTCAGTTCAGGGCATAATCTCTCTTTTTTTCTCTCATTTAAATACTTTTTCAAACAACCCCTTTTCCCCCAGTGCAATAGCTGAAGGAACAATATAATATTCAAACCCCCAGGCTGAAACTCAAAGAGTTCCTTTTTTAAAATTTTATTTTACCTGTGGTTTTTTTTTTGTTCACTTTATTTATTTATTTTGTGGTGTATGAAAAAAGCCAAAAAAACAACAAAACAACCCTATATCTCAATGTATGTTTATTTAATGTTACCCAATACGGTTATGAACCAGTGAGTTCATTTAATAATAAAGAGAATTAAGTATATAAAAGTAACATATTGAGCCTGGAGGTCTAATTAGCCCTTCAGAGGAGACCCTTGGGAGCCAAAAACAGAGTTTAAATCTTTGATCCATTGTATAATTGATGGAGAATGAATTTCTTTTTTTCCCCTGTCACTTTGCAATAATGAACACATGTTGAATCTGTTTCTGTGATCCACCGTTTAGTTTCTTAAACTAATTCTTAAAAAACTGACAGTCCTGCAGGGAAAAGAGAGAGCCATCCAAAGTAAAATTAATAAGAGAAACAATGAGCGCGTTGTGTGGACAAATGCTGCATTTGGAGCACCGCAATTTTTGTAAAATCGAACAAGCACACAAACTCGCAAAGATGGCCATTGCAACTTAAACCTCCTTTTTAAACATTTGACACCCACATGATGTAATTGCTCTGTAATTATCTTTTTTCCTTTTAACATTATGCTAAAATTTGCATTGCATTGATCAAAAGTCCCCCCCCCACCTGCTTGATTTTGTTTTTTGTTTTTGTTTTTTGGTTAGCAGTGACAAATTTAAGAGATACCTCTGCCTTGTCCATCAAGTTGTTCCCTTTATAGAATCACCTAGTGGCCTACTTTTCACGACTCCTGCTATTGTTACAAAAGGGTTAGTAAATGATCTTCATTCAGTCAAGGGCCAGCAGAAATTAAACAGAAAAGCAAATAGAAATCAACTCAAGCAGGAGAGGAAAATTACATAATAATATACAGGTAGCCCTTGACTTACGGCTACCACAATTCAGCCCGAAATTTTTGCTGCAAAGTGAAACATACGTTAAGTGAATTTTGCCCCATTTTACGACCTTTTACGACCATTTTTAAATTAGTTGCACAGTTGTGAAGTGAATCTGGCTTCATTCTCCTTGCTTTTGACTTGCTTCTGGTCCCGTTTTTCTAATTAAGTGATGTGGATGTTTGCTAATGTTTAATAAATAAGTGCCATCTACTCAGTCGGCCGCCGAACGGAGGAACGTGCTCGCTCTAATCTGAATATAAGGATCCACTGTGGTAGGGTCTAGAGGGCAAATCTAGAGGGAATGAATCCATTGTCGTTTTTTTCCGACAACAAAAGGGAGTCTGCTGCGATTGTTTTGTCATTTTCTGGTCTGCGTGTTCCCGTCTTAAAAAAGGCCCATGGGGACAATTTACCTCTTGCTTTGGCTTCTCTGGGGATTTAATGAGAATATAGAAAGCAGCAGGATTCAAATTGCCAGAGATGATAGGGTGATTTCACAGCCCTCCGTTAGATGCCTAGTTGGTAAATAAGTGCCAAGACAGCTCACTTTGCCCAGGAGAATTTCAGCAAAATCCTCCTCCTCCTCCTTCTCATCTCCTCCAAAAGCAAATTCTTTCATTCATCTGAGAACTGGGAGGAAGGAAATGGAGGAAGCGCCTTCCTAAACCCTGAACTATTTTTGTTTAATCTTTTTGGGGTTTCTTTGAAAAGAAATGTATATATTTCTTTCATCTCTCTTTATCTCCTCTTTCCTCTTTTTATCTCCTCTCTTCTCTTGCCCTCTCTCTATCTCTCTATCATCTCTCTTTATCTACCCCCTCTCTAGTCTCTCTCTTTCTCGCCTCTCTCTCCTTTCTCTCTCTTTTGTGTCTCTCTTGTCCCTCTTCTTTATGTCTCTCTCCTCTTCTCTCTGTGTCTATGTGTATGTGTGAGAGAGTGTAAAAGAGAAAATGCAGAACCAGTTTTGATTTGTTCCCATTTAAGCATCCTTGCTTTAGAGGTCTAACATGGAAGCTGGCACTGAGCACGAATGATAAACCTGGATGGTACAAACCTACACAGTTCCCAGCCGGCACCTTCTGGATCTGTTGCTGTACATCCCCGTACAGTTGTAAGCTAAACATTTGCAAGGTGTCAGGTTGGGAATTGGGGTTAATTGTTGTTGAGTTGAAATGAAGGAATGCTTGAATGCATGGAAGATTGTTGTCATAGAGCAGCTTGCAAAAGGAAGTGACTATTTGCAAAAATGCAGAGCTCAAAACAACAGGGCAAAATTCCATATCCAGTGCAACAGTTTGACCTTGAAAATGGAGTCCTCCAATATTTGAGGGCTGTCACAGAAAAGAGGGGGGGGGTCCCCCTATTCTCCAAAGCACCAGAAGGCAGAACAAGAAGCAATGGATGGAAACTAACCAAGGAGAGAAGCAACCTAGAACTAAGGAGACATTTCCTGACAGAACAATTGATCAGTGGAACAGCTTGCCTCCAGAAATTAAGGGTGCTCCATTACTGGAGGCTTTTAAGAAGAGACTGGACAGCCATTTGTCTGTTTGAGCAAGGGGTTGGACTAGAAGACCTCAAAGGTCCCTTCCAATTCTGTTATTCTGTTATTTATATTTCCAATATTGGCCCCTGCCAGGGTTTGGATCCTGTTGAGCTCTGTCCAGTTTGGTTAGATCAAAGCCAAGGGGGCATCGTACTGGATCGGACACTAAATAAAACAGATCTGGGTCAGAAGCTGCCCAGTCCTGGCACCATGCAACCTCCAGGTCAAAACCGTCTTCTGGCTTAATGGCTTAATGATCTTCTCTCCTTTTCTTTCTCTCTATAGAGATCCGTGAGGCCTTCAAAGTCTTTGACCGAGATGGCAACGGCTTCATCTCTAAACAAGAACTTGGCACTGCCATGAGGTCTCTCGGCTACATGCCCAATGAAGTGGAGTTGGAAGTCATCATCCAGAGGCTGGATATGGATGGTAAGGCTGGTCAGGCGAGGACCATCCTTTTTTTTTCTTTTTCCTTTGGATGTTGTTGGTTTTTTTTCTTCTCATCAACCTTCTTCATCTCCAGTTCTTCTTTATTCTCTGCTTTTTGGCTGACTAAGGTGGATGGGATTGTTGGAAGTCATAGCCCATCTCAAAGATGTTTTTTCATGAAGCAACTGGACTTTCCTATTTTTCTTTGAAGACCTTTTGCTTCGGCTCAGAGCTGAAGAAGCTTCTTGGATGAGAAGAAAAACAAGAAAGTCCAGTTGCCTTGTGAAAAAGCATCTTTGGGATAACTATGACCTGGATGACTGAGAATCTCCACAGACAAGTCATTGCCCAACATACCTAGATAGTGGTGTAAAGAAGTCTACATTTCCTTCCTTCCTTCCTTCCTTCCTTCCTTCCTTCCTTCCTTCCTTCCTTCCTTCCTTCCTTCCTTCCTTCCTTCCTTCCTTCCTTCCTCTTTCACAAACACATGAATCTTGAACTTCATGCTTGCTTCAGATCACCTGTGATTGTTCCTCTCATTTCTAGGGGACGGGCAAGTGGACTTTGAAGAGTTTGTGACGTTACTGGGACCCAAGCTTTCCACTTCTGGCATACCAGAGAAGTTTCATGGCGCTGATTTTGACACCGTGTTCTGGAAGGTAAGGAGGGACTCCATTCCAGGTCTCTGTGACACTCTTCTTTGTATAGGATTGAAAAGGGAAGATGTTGGGTTCTTGATGTTCTCCAAGCTTGCAACACCACAAACTCATCCACTCCATATTTAGATAGCTTCTCAGAAGGACTGAAAAGGGAAGATGTTGGGTTCTTGATGTTCTCCAAACTTGCAACACCACAAACTCATATATTCCATATCTAGATAGCTTCTCAGAAGGACTGAAGAGTGAAGAGGTTGAGTTCTTGATGTTCTCTGAGGTTGCAACATCATGAACTTCCTATCTAGATAGCTTCTCTGGAGGATCAGAGAATCAGGATCACTAAGAAAAAAAAAACACAAAATCCCCACAGGTTATCTGTCCAGTGTGTTTTGCACCTGCCTTGAGCTCATTTACGGCATCGGAAGCTGTGCAATACTCTTTCTTCCTCTGCAGTGCGACATGCAGAAGCTGACTGTTGATGAGCTGAAACGGCTGCTGTACGACACCTTTTGCGAGCATCTCTCCATGAAGGACATTGAAAACATCATCATGACCGAGGAGGAAAGCCACATGGGGAACGCAGAGGAATGTCCAGTGGACGTGGAAAGTAAGTGGACTTGGTCTTGGGACTCAGATCCAGAGGCAAACTGGCCATTAGATTCCTGCTTTGCATGCCCCAGAGGAGATGTGGGTTCTTTAAACCCACAGCAGAAACTTCTAGCTCAGAAGTGTCCCACCCTGGCAACTCTCCAGCCAGCAATTCTGGGAACATTCACCCACTTCAAAGCTGCCAAGTTCGAAAAACACTGGCTTAAAAAACCGATGTCAGCATTCTTACTAAGAGTGATGATAGTCTAGTGCTTCTCAACCTTGGCAAGTTGAAAGTGGGTGGACCAACTCCCAGAATTCAAAGCAAGCAGGCCGGAGGAATTCTGGGAGCTGAAGTCCACCCATCTTCAACTTGCCGAGGTTGAGAAACGCTGCAATAATCTCTTCTTGTTTCTTCCTCTTCTCTCCCTTCCTCCTTATCCTCTCTCTCCTCTTCCTCATGACCTGGCCCTACGATTCTCCCTCTTCCTCTCCACTTCCTCCTCAGCGTGCTCGAACCAACAGATCAGGCAGACGTGCGTCCGGAAAAGCCTCATCTGCGCTTTCGCCATCGCGTTCATCATTAGCGTCATGCTCATTGCCGCCAACCAGGTGCTGAGAAGTGGGATGAAGTAACCTCTGGAGAAGGAACCGACGCCTGGATTAATGGACAGCTGGACTTCCTTGAAGGAGCGAGGGAAGAAATCTATAGACCTACCTATAAATTTTACCTTTAGCCACCAGGACCCGGGGCTGGGGGAAACTGTAATTCCTCCGTGGCAAAACTGCGTGCGTGCACAGACACAAACACAGAGACAAAGTCACCTTCCCTTTCGACTCCCTTTAGGGTCCCCCCTCCCAGGAGAGACAGCTGTCTTCTGAACAGATAGCATGGCTTCCCCAGGGAGGGTCCCACTCGGCGAAGCCGAGGGGCGTTATCGGGACCCACATGGTGAACTTTTTAAACTAAACTTTGGAAGCATGTCTAAGTGCATGAGGACCCTTTTCCACCACCCCCCTTCCTGATCTGAGTAATGCAATACCCTGTTCTTTTATAATCCGATAGTAGGACCTTACAAGATATATAAAGATATTCTATATATATAAATATAACATATATATATATATTTATGATCAACCGAATAATCAGTTAAGCAATATATAACGCGTCAGGATTTTCTATCCAAGATTCAGGCATTTGCATGACCATCAACACAACAAGGGCTGGACCACGAATCCAAAACAGTTTGTAACTTCCTCCTACCTCCTCTTGGGAGGTTTTTTTCCCCAGATCTATGCACTTTTTTTCTGGGGTGGGGTGGGGGTGGGGCTTACTGGAGCCTGTTGAATGTTGATCTAGGGTTGTTTGGCTGGAAAGCACCAGAAATGTTGGCTGGAGGAGGAGGAGGAGGAGGAGGAGGAGGAGGAGGAGGAGGAGGAGGAGGAGACTGGCCCACTATGGGGTAGTTTTAGTAGGGTCTTGCTTCTTCATTGCTGGTGAGTTTCCTACAGCAGGCCACACAAGTTGTGAAGAAATTCTTCAGTGGCCAGTGGATTATTCTGTTCCTGAAGGCCTCAGAGTCTCCATTTCTGATTGAGCTTTCTACCTTCAAATCTCAACATCAAGAGAAGGCAATGTTCCTTAACCTGGAGATCCTCCAGTGGACTTCAACCCAACTGTTGTTTTTTTTCTGCTGGACGAGGAATTCATTGAGCATTGAGTTCCACCCAACTGAACCTTAGAACCAGGTTGAGGACAGTTGCAGCAGTGTACATAGAAGATCGTAGGACACCCCTGAAATCATTTGTTTTCGCCATCTTTAAGCCCAACAAAGTGTGATCTGGCCAGGCTGGGGGTGTTCCTTGCGTAACGAGACTCTGATGTGATGGAGAATTTGATCCCTACTGTTTCTCTGGGTCACCTGTCCCAACGGTGAAGCTTGTCCCATTTTCAAGCTTGACCAATCTAGCTATTGTGCCTTATTTCTCATTTGACTTTGTCCAACTTCGAAATTGTTGGTTCGCGTTGTGAGTGTGGCCAGATGAAAGAGACTGTCACAATTCCCATGCTTTCTTCGCCATGAATGTATTGTTGTGCCACAATGAATCAATTGTTAAACTGGAAAAAAAAAACACCTGCTAAGCAAGAGTTTGTTTGTTAAGTTTGTCTCCAGCTCTTCTCAAATTTATTTATTTATTTATTTTGAAGAACGAGGGCACGAGAGAGGGTGCATCTCACAACAGCGTTCGAAGAAAGGTCAAATCCCTTTCCTACAGCATTCTTGCATTCCAACTCGCTCGGTTCCTGATGATGCCCACAGGGCTGTCCTGGCAGGAAATAAGTTTGGTTCTGGCTGAATTCCAAATTCTTAAAAGCTTCTGCAAGCAATCAATTTCAATGTCTGGTAAGAGGTCATTCTGGCTTCTCCACAACTGCTTTGGAGAGGGGGAGGAAGAGGAGGAGAAGCAGAAGCAGAAAGAGGAGGAGGAGGAGAATAAAGAGATCTGACCTTAAAATCATAAACCTTCTTAGCTGGGTGTCTGTGGAGATCCTCAGTCGTCCAAGTTATGGTTGTCCCAAAAGTGCTTTTTCAAGAGGCAACTGGACTTTCTTGTTTTTCTTTGAAGATGTTTTGCTTCTCATCCAAGAAGCTTCTTCAGCTCTGAGTGGATGGTGGGAAATGGAATTCGTTGCCTTGTGAAAAAACTTCTTTGGGTTCTGATCTGGGCTTTCTTAGAAAAGGGTTCCATCCTCATAATTATCAGACAAGTTGCTGTGAAACGAGGAGGAGGACTGTGGGGTCCTTGGTGCTCTCTGAGCTTGGCGGCTTTCTTGCAGACATTTCACGACACAACTAGGTAACATCATCAGTGCTAGAAGGGAGTGGGGTTTATGGAGGAGGAGGAGAAAATCTACCTATTTTCTCCTCCTTCTCCTCCTCCTCCATATGGCTACCTATCTCATCTGCGTGACTCAGGACAGCACACAAAGCTTCCCTATCCTCAGATACGGCGGACTACAATGCAGGTAGCTGGCCATTAAGGGAGACATAGTCACACATCTGGAGAGTGGTGGGTTTAGGGGAGCTACGGCCATGTCCATCACTCGGGCTGTCCTGTTTCCTCTGTGACTCCCCTAAACACCCAGAACACTTAAGCCCCAAAGCAATTCACAGAAATGTCAAGGTATTTAAAATAATATCTGCAGCCTCAAGATTTATTGGAAGACCAAGCCGGTGGATTATGCATGTGCTTTTTTTCCCTTTTTTCTTTATAAAATTGTGTATGTGTGTGTGTTATGTGTGTTCCATAATGTTCCATTGTTATAGCCGACGGACAGAGTTGTTAAACTACATTTATAATAAAAGGGAATAAATCATACCCTTTATTTCTTCACATAAAACTCTGGATTGCTCAGGGTCCCTCCCCAAATTACTAAGCAATTCCACCAGCTCTGCATTATCACACATAATTCTACAGGTTGATAATTTTATCACTATTGTTTCTGCTCTGAAAAACCCCCAGGTCTGTCAACATGATGGGCAGGCTGTAGGGGAAATGGGATGAAAGGTGAGTCCTCGACTTACGATGAAAATTGACAACCCCAGTTCTAGCAGGTGCCCAGTGCCTGTTAAGAGAATTAATCCTCATTAATATGTAACTTTTTCTTTTGCTGATGCTTAAATCAAGCAACTCCTGAGGGTGGAGAGGGACAGGCAAGTTGCAGAACGCTAAAACCTGCCCATCAAAAGCAACCTTGAATAAGTTGAATTTTGGAGACTGGCCTGGCTGCTGTAGCTGAGCACCGCAGATCGAAGGAAGTCTCCCGGCACTGTGAGTAATTCATGGAGACAATTTAAATAAATTATGCTAGAGTTTGTTCAGTCCTTTAATGTGCTTCTGTTTCGGTCTCCTTTCTGCAAATTCTAAATTAGCCGGCGGTGCAGGGATTTCTGAAAAGGTGCTGGGCTAAATTCTCTGTTTTTCTCCAGAGACACACCGAGAAGCCTCCAGCCTTCAAGGGTCCATCTTTTCATCTCCATCAGCTCTCAGCCCCAGTGGAGGCCTGGGGGGATCGTCCATCCACCGGGGAGAGGCGCTCTCAGGGAGGGTGGCAGTTCATGAACCGGGGGCCAGCCAGGTGGATACTGGAAGACCAATTCTTCTTCACAATGAGGACTAGGAGAAAAGAGAAATCTGATTTAGGGAAGGAAAAAAAAAACCGGTTTATGCAGGTCATTTTACCTGCATAAAGACGTTTTTGCAAGATCTGCTCAAGCAACCATTGAGGTCTTGCATGATTCTGCAAAGCTTCAGGGGCTCCTTTTGCGCTTCGTAAAATGCTTCCCTGCACAACCAAATTTTGGTGCCACTGAGGCTGGGGTGTCTCCTGCAGCTGAAAAAGGGGGGACTTTGGATCACAACTGCCTTGAAGACCTTCTGCCAGGGCAGGAAAAATAAAACGAAACACAGGGGTGGAGAAAACAGCATCCCTTTTCTCCTAAGCAGCGTCGTTGACTCCTGTTTAAAAAGCGCTAACCGGCATTTGCAAGGTACAAGCTGGGTCAGCAATGTCCTGGTTTTGCACAGGAACCGGATTGCATTGCCCACAGATTTAATAAATAATAAACCATAAATAAAATTTGCTCCTTCCCAGCCCCAACCAGGCCTCGGGGAAGGTGGATGAACCGCTAAGGGAGGAGAAACGATAACGCAGCCCTCGGAAAGCAGAAAGGGTGAGAAAGAGACTCTTAATAACCCCGCCTTGATTCTCTGAGCAGGAGGGAAATCCTGGCAAGTGTTCCAAGATTCTGTGGTTGTACCCGCCATCCATAAAGCCGAGTTCCAATCTTTCTCACGGTCTCTGTTTTGTGGAGCTGGGATACCTCAAAGGTCAGACAACTTTCTGCTTCCCTGGCAGATGGTGGAGAACGCCTACCTGTCCTGCTGAGCTGCCCGCAGCCGCTTGGCACGCTTCTCCAACCAGGCCTCAATTGTGCCCACCGGGAGCACCGTCCCATCTTGCTGCTGTTCTTTCGCTCTCCTCTCCTCTGTTTGGAGGGAAAGGGAGAAGACAGCTCAGCGATAGTGATAAAATAAAATAATAAAATAAAAATAAAATAAAATAATACAATAAAATAATATAAATAAAATAATAAATGAAATGAAATAAAATAATAAAATAAAATAAATAATGAAATGAAATAAAAAATAAAATAATAAATAAAACAAAATGCATAGCTACAGGGTGCAGCCTGCTGGTGAAGGTTAACCTTTTATCCATGTTTTTCTCAGAGAAATGCTACAACGCTTCATCGTGGGCCAGGGATTAGGGAAGGAGACACACAGTGTCTCTGTTTTAATGACTGCTACGGTTTTATCGATTTCTGTTCTAGCGACATAACACAGTTCCCGGGGCAGCCTGCAACCCAGAGCCATAAAAATTAAAATGCAACCATCAATCAGGAAAAAGAAAATCATGCAGCATATAAATTGTAGCAGCAGGCCATAAAATCAAGACACCAAAGCCACCTTCCTTGCCCAGAGCAGAAATAAAAAAGAGGGAAAACAAAGGCGGGGAAGAAGGAAGTTTAGCTGCTTAAAAACTAGAGGAGGTTTCAAGAGTACAGATAACAAACAGCCAATCCAGATTTACTCTGATTTAAAGCAAACTCCTCCCTAGTTTTGATCACCATAATACAAAAAAGATGTTGAGACTCTGGAAAGAATGCCGAGAAGAGCAACGAAGATAAGAAAGGTTCTGAAGGTTAAAACATATGATGAACCATTCCAGGAACTGGATATCTCTAGTAGTCTAACGAAGAGAAGGATGAGGGATGTCATGAGAGCAGCCTTCCAAGATTTGAGGGGCTACCACAGAAAAGAGGGGGGTCAATCTATTCTCCAAAGCACTTGAAGGCAAGCAAGAAGCAACAGAACAGGCGGAAACTCATCAAAGAGAGACCCAACCTAGAATTAAGGAGAAATTTCTTGACTGTGAGAACAATTAATTAGTGGAACGGCTTTGCCTCTAGAAGCAGTGGCAAAGGTCTTCACGAAGAGACTGGACAGCCATTTTTCTGGAATGGTACAGGGTCTCCTGCTTGAGGAGGGGGTTGGACTGGAAGACCTCCAAGGTCCCTTCCAGCTCTGCTGTTTCTCACTTCTGCTTCTCTTACCTTGCACCTGCATGTTCAACTTCTCGAGATCTGCTCCCGTCATATGAGAAAACCGGCAGTTGGAACCAAAGTCGCAGTGGCCTGCAAGGAAGGGATCCAGGCAAGCTATTAGGCCAGTCCTTCCCAAACTTTTTCCCTCATTAACCCCAAGTAGCTTATCGGAAAATCTTATCGAACTTAAAGGACTGGCAAGTGCCTTCCTTCAGCGCCCTCGTAACTTCAGTGCTCACGGAACGAGCTGTCATAACTTGAGGACCACGTGTATTATTAAAACAAGATCGCCAAATGATCTTTATGTCCTTTCAACAAGTTGCCGTTAGTAATGTCATTCGTTTTCGTCTCAACAGAAATACTTTGGGAGATTTTCAAATGTATTTTAGCACACGTGGCAATCTTTAAGCCGACGCAAATTTCCCTGTTGTGATGGGTAGCAGTTTTGCGAGGTGCTACCCAAAGGGGGGAAAAAAACCCCACTTTCACCTAATTTTGCTTAATTTACTCAGGTTTAGGAAGAGCTGCAATAAGAGCCTACAACAAGTCAGTTGCAGTTCAGAGGAGTTGCAGTTCTTGCTCCAGGGGGCTCCACAGCCTTGATTATTCCCCAAAATGCTTTTAATGCAGATTACTGGGGAAATCATTGTAAACAAGCCAGGATGGATGAATTCTCATGACTTTACAAAAAAAGCCAGCAATAAAAAAAAAATCAACTGTTAACATGACATTAGTTTGCTATGCATACCTGTTTGCAAAAATTTCCGACAAGGTTTCTTTTTCTGTTCTTCCTGTAAGATGGTTGCAGCATCTGTATAGAAAACAAAAACAAAACAAAAAAAAAAAACACCACAAACAGGAGGAGGAAGAGTTGGCTTATACAGATAGTCCTCGACTTACAGCTCTTCATTTAGATGGCCATATGGACAGACAGGGTAGAAGAAAGATCTGGAACACCCAATAGTTCTCTGTCAAGAATTAAACTTTGGCAGCTATGCGTCTCTTTGTTTCAACTTGCCATTAAAGGAGTGTGCGTGTGGCTTTAGAATGGGTTAGATGGAGAAACAAAACCTCTATGATTCCGCTGAAGACTGTGAAAGCCTGAAACCTTTCCAAGGACACCGCAGCAGGTGTGGAGAGGAAGCAGACTGTTCCCATAACAAAGTGAAATTTTTTACATGGACTACGTAAGAGGATGGGGGTTTGGCCGGAGAAATTATTGTTTAATTCTATGAATTGGGTGTCTGGGAACCTCAGAGTTAGCTTTGCTTCGACATTACCACGACGTGCTTTCAATAAACACTAAGATTTTCAGAAGCAGAATGAACCTGGAGAGTTTATTTGGATTCTGGAGCTGGATGTTGACACTCTCTTTGCACACCCGCAGTTCTTCCCGTTCCACCCAAACCAGAGAAGGTGTTCTGTTTCTTACCTCGAAAGAGATTATACCAGACTTCCTTAGCTCTTAAATGCTGCACCCCGTTCAAGTGTTTTTTCCTGTTGTGAAGATTGTCCTGGAAAGTCCGGTCACAGTAATCACAAAAGTACCGCTTCCCCATGCTGAATCTGCTCAAGAAAATATCCCTTTGGAAGAATGTCTCTCAATCTCAGCAACTTTAAGAGGTGTGGACTTCGATTCCCAGAATTCCCCAGCCAGCTTTGCTGTTCTAAGGGACCAAAAAAATAATAATAATAATCCCGCCTACTTCAGCAGAGAACAAGAAGAATATATAACGATATAGTTGAATTTTAAACACATAACAGAATGTTAAACATGTAGACATATAACTGAATATAAACATATAATTGAATTTTAGACATATAAACAGAATGTTAAACATGTAGACATATAACGGAACGCTAAACATATCAACAAATTTTAAACATATAAAACATACAAGAATTTTAAGTGTGGTTATTTATTTATTTTTTATCTTTTACATGGTATTTTAACTATATGACTGCAAGTTGCCTACAGATAGGCAGCAGAGAAATTTAATAAACAAACAAGTAAACAAACAAATAAATAATCAATCTGAACACGGTCAAAGCGTAAGATGGCAATCAACAGAAAGGATGGAAGTCAACATTTTAAGTTTTCTTTCTTTTTACTCATTGCCTATCTTTTTTTTCTTCTTGTACACTTTTATTGTAAAATTCTGATATATTTTTTTTTAAAAAGACCACACAAATATACACAACCAGCTTTGGCTGCCTAAGCTCAGAAATCATTAACTAACACAAGGGTGACTGTGTTCCAATTTGCTAGGCTTCAATGTAACTGGCAAGTTTGAAATTTGACATGTAGAAACGCTGTTCCTAATAGACCGTGGTGCCCACGGTTTGTAGAGAAGAAGCATTTCCTAACCACCCGCAGGGCTGAAAATTGAATCTGGAACTTCCTGCAGGCAAAACTCATGTCGGGATGACATCTTCACATATATTCCTGGGAAAGAGGCCCTGTTTTGCTTTCACTAGGCACTTACGTGTAGGTTAGCTAGATGCAAAACACAGTACACCAGATAGATTTGTGTTATCATTATTGTTCTAATTGTAAGGGGAATTTATTGTGTAGATTATAGCAGCCTAGATTTAAATGTCACGGATAAATAAAATGGGCATTTTGGTGCAGTATAGAATGTACATTCAGCCCTGATCCTGCTTCTATTTAATAAATGTATCCAAGTGGGACTTCCAGCATCTGATACATATATGAAGAGTTCAATTAGCTATACTGTTAGAATGCAGTATATGAAGAGTTGAAACTCAGGAGCATTATTGGAAAGAAGTCCACGCATCTTAAAGAAAATTCTGGGAGTTAAAGCCCAGGGTCTTAAAGCTATGCTGGCTGGGGAATTCTGGGACTTGAAGTCCATGCACCTTATGGTTTGCATGGTGGCTCTGCTGCGAATGCTTTTGCAGAGGCTTTTTCTTTTAAAAAGAAAGAACAAATCAGCACCCAAATAAACACACAGGAAGGCGATCAGCACCGCGAATTGCAAAACCCAAGGCTGACTTTTGATGACAAAACCAGCCAACACCCCAGCCAGGGATAACCAGCATTTTTTTGCACTGACTTTAACTGAAATTTAGAGATTTATTGGAATTTAGACTGTTCTGCCTTCTCCAGTCATCCGATTGCCGCAGCCCAGATCTCGCAGCCCTATTTCGGTGGAGCCTGTGATTCTCACAGACGGTCAAGCACTTCTGGACAGGGCTTGGTGAGGATGATGGGGACTGTAGTACCTGCCCTACCTCTCCGGTCGCTCTGCAGTCCGGAAGTTTTCGCCCTCCTCCCGTTTCAGAACTGAACTACATTATTCCCAGAGAACTCCGCGGCATCTTGGGAAACGTAGTTCGGCTTCCCCTAAGGAAGAGCGCGCTGCCTGTGGCCACCGGACTTCAAAGCCCAGAAACCAGCGCGGCGCAGGGCTTCCGGCTCAAGGATCTTCCGGTCGTCCCCGCAGAGGGCGTCTTGTCTTTCCCGAAGGCAGCAGCGCGCCTGCGCGGTAAGCCTCCAAGCGTCCAAGATGGCGTTCGCGGAGCAGCTCTACCGGTTCGTGTTCCGCCGCACGTCCACGCTGGTCTTCACGGTCGTGGTGGGCGCCGTGATTTTCGAGCGGGGTTTCGACCAAGCCACGGAGGCCATTTTCTGCCGCCTCAATGAAGGGGTGAGTCAGCCTGGGCGGGCGCACAGGCCCCAACCGGGGACTTGCGTGAAAGGCGGCCGGGAGACAATTGAAGGTCAGGCGGGGCTGGCGTCTACTTGAGGCCGCGGCTTCGGCCTGTCGCGCCGCTTCTTCTCGAGCAGCGTGGCTCTGCTTCCAGGTATAGGGCAGTACCTTTTGGAAAGAAGCAGGCGCTTCGTTGCGGATCTGGCTCTCGGCTTTTGGTCTCTGGGAGGATGGGATGGGAGAGGACAAGATTCATCCCTAGTTCTTCTTTTCTCCAGACTAGCCAAACCCAAATCCTGCAACCGTTTTAGTCCTGGGGTGAATTTTATGAGCGTTTACTATGTTTAGTGCTTTCTTCTTTAGTCTTTATTAAGTGAGACGGGACAGAAGAAAGGAATAAATAGCGAAGGGATTTCCAATAAAACATTGTGTGTGTCTTTATGTGTTACCTGTATCGGGTCTCTCTTTACAGACACATATATGCATATATTCACCCCTGTGTATTCACATCATATTTGTTTGGTAAATTTATATAGCTTGCCCATACACGTCCCCGGGCCTAAATAGGGGTGTATATACCTTTGTGTGTTTTGTCTGTGGAGATACACAATCATCCAGTTCATGGTGGTCCCCAAAGGTGCTTTTCCAACAGGCAACTGGACTTTCTTAGTTCTTTTCTTTGAAAATGTTTTGCTTCTCATACAAGAAGCTTCTCGAGTTCAGCTAACATCAGTGCTGGATGCTGAACTGGATGCCTCATCAACCCCTCTTGCACTGATGACATTTATGAAATGTCTGCAAGAAAACAACCAAGCTCGGAGATCATCAAGGACCCTTCATTTCAACCCTGAGCTACAAATATTTTCCTTTATTAGAGATTGCTTGAACACGTCTCTGCAGTTTCCTTGGCAAGATTTCACAATTGGTTTGTGGTTGCCTTCTTCCGGAGGCTGAAAGAAAGTCACTGGCTGACCTTGTGCCTAAGGCAGACTAGAAATCATGGCCTCCTAGTTTCCAGCTGGGTGGTTTAACCATAGTAAGCTGGCTTTCACATATACACACGCATATGTACACACACAGCGATGTAGTATATGTGCATACATATGTACGTGCACAGAAACACACATAGACCATATGTATACACTCGAGTCTTGTTACCCTTGAAGTTACTTTCCTCTTTAATGTACTTCAAGTACTTTGGGGAAGGCAGGGAGTGGGGTAGGTAACCTGCTAGTGAATTCCATTCTGCATCCTGAGTGGGCTGCCATTGAGGGATGATGTTTTCTTTAGTTCTAAGCACCCATCCCCAAATGTCATCCCTATCTTACTCCATGCTTGTTTGTGTCTCTTGCTCTGCAGAAACTGTGGAATGACATCAAGCACAAATACGAAGTAAAAAAGGACTGAGGCACAGGAGGCAACCCTGGACTCGTGTCAGATCCTCCACCATTCTCACCAATAGCCCTTTTTGTTTGTCGCCAGCTGTTAGACTAGCAGACGTTCATCCTTGTATGATGGCCAGGGTGCTCTGTTCCAAGTGATGAAAAGATTCAAATGACTTTTTTTTTTTTTTTTTTTTTTTTGCTGAAAAGCAGCTTAATAAAATGCACTCTAAGACCAGAATATTCTGTATTACCTGTGTCGCGGCATGCTCAGGTGCCTGTTTGGCCAATGCCATGGGTTTTTTTTTTAATCCTGTCATCAGGCACTGAAGTTGTAGCACAAGATGCAAGAAAAGTTATGCTTGCTTGTAGCTTTGGGTTGTAATACCAGTTTGATATTAACAGGCATAGCTGTTGTCATCAGTGCTACATTGGGAAATGCTCCCCTCTGAACTCATGGCTTTCTGACCTTGGTGGTCTTCATATAGGTAGCAGGTGTCAGAAAAGACCCCCTACAGTGGGAAGAAACCTGATCGAGCAGGGTAACTGGCTTCTGAGCAGGACTGGCACCTCGCTGGCATCCCGCCATCAACTGGGCAAGGGAGGGGGGAACAAATGGGCAATAAAGCAGTATGGCTTTATGATGGGAAATTGGGAGGGGGGACTGACCATTCACGTTGGCGTGCTGGCACCTTCAAGGCCGTTTGCCCTGAGAGTGGGATTTCACCAGCCCAACACCTCAAGTGTTTTCCGGTTACACACGGACGGACCGGGGGGGGGGAGGACTACAGGGAACCAGGGGGTTGGTTTTGTATTGGTGCACAGGAACTTCAGATTCCCTTCCATCATATGGACAGTTTTCCTTTCCTAGGAGAACAAAAGTGGGACAGGTCTGAGAGATGAATAGATGGGACCGCTGAAACAGCTCCTGCGGTTTAAAGAAAAGCATTTATTGACAATGCAATTTCCACAAGTTGCTCAGCACAGCCCTACAGCAGGTCTCTGTAATTTATCTACATGTGGATTTGTCCTTCCCCAGGAGAATCATCTTTGAAAAAGGAGCCTCCCTGGTGCGCCACTGTTTCAAGATGGGATCATGCCTTTGCTGCGCTTCCGGTCGGCCATTGTGCGTCTGTTGTGGTTTGCTCTTGTCCCCTTGCTGGCTTCTTTCTTCCGTCGCTCCTGGACTGTGTCTCGGTTTTGGCCACGGCCTTTGGCACTTCCCACCACGGCAGCCGAGTTATCTGGCTTTGGCCTGCAGGGAGGGTAGGAAAAGAAAGCCAGACCGTTAATTTTTAAGAAGAGATTAAACAGCTATTTGTCCAGAATGGTACAGGGTCTCCAGTTGAGCAGGGGGTTGGACTAGAAGACCTCCAAGGTCCCTTCCAGTTCTATTATTCTAAGTTCTAAATATCTGGTACCCTTTAATTGGGTGGGAACTGCTATTCCCAGAATACCCCAGACTGGATGCCCGAAACATGGCACAAAGGTCAGGAGAGGGGGGCTTTGGGGGAAATCTTACCCTTTTCTTGCGAGGAAGGTCATCCGCCTGGCCTCGGCTCGCTCCCGTAGCACTGCTGGATCTTGAACAAAGTGATCCTGTTAGCAATGAAAAGAAACATCTTTGAGAAGCGGGGACTCCATTCTCCAACAAAAAGAACGGGAGCTGCAACTCCTGACCTCTCGGGAGCAGCCGATTCTTTTCCTGTTCAAACAGCAGGATTGTTCCATGACTCTACCCGCCCTCCAGCATTCCCAATCGTCACCTTTGCCGCCTCTTTCTCCTCCGTCTCCTCTTCGTCGTCCTCCTCCTCCTCCTGCTCCTTTTCTTCTTTGGGCCTCAGGACTTGAGGGATGGTGAACGGCCTTCAGGAAGATGGGACAACCACATAGTGAGACTCCTCAAGAGCCTTGAGGCCCAAGCTTCATTGTCACAAGAGAGGCAGGAGTGTAGCCCTACTCAAGACCTTGCCTGAGGAGCTGCTCACACGGAGGAGATGCTGCTAGCTGAACCCCTGCAAGAGGCCCTCTTCTTGCAAGCAGGAAGAGGGGAGGCCCCGTCTTACTCCTTAAAGAGGAGTGGGCTTCATAGGCTGGGAAAGATGAAGAAGGCCCTTCTCTTGTCTGCCTGACAGGTGGGCATCTTTAAGAAGATCTGTCCAGCAGGCTAGCTAGAAATTGGCTGGCTGGAGAATTCTGGAAGCCCACCAGTTTTAAAAGTTGCCAAGTCTGGAGACCCCTGGTCTAACCAAATTGCCTTCCCCTTATACTCTATGCCCAAACGTGTTGATCTTGTTTAAACAACCTAAACAGGAAAGGCTGGATTCTGCCAACATGCTAACCCATGGCTTAGCCTTCTCAGGTGAATTAAGCTCTGCAGGACCTATGAACCCAGCTAGGGTGTGGAGAAGGTCCAGGTGGCCACTCAAGAGCCTGGAAAAGTAGAAAGCCCTGACCAAGAATTGCTGCAGCCCTGGGAGTTAAGCACTGGTTGCAAATGGTCTCTGGCTTACCTTCTGCTGATCAGCTCATCATCGGAGTCAGCATCATTTGCTCCCACCTGGTTGCCATCGTAGGTGTCGTCATACTCGTCCTCGTAATCTTCCCGGGAGAAGAGGTCACACCCGCTCGGCTCGGGGACTTCCTCAACAATCACTGAATACTGGTTGTAGCGTTCCCTTTGCTCCTTCACCAGGCGCTTGTCGTTCACTAAGCTTTTTGTGGTGGCTTTGTCGCTCCTGCAACCGGGAGAGGAAACAAACAAAATCCTGGTACCACTCGGCGTCTTGGGGATAAGAAGTTTTCTTTTGTTTAAACATTGGACTTATACCAACAGAAAACAACAGCTCGGGGTTGAGCTAATCCAATGAGAAACCCTGGATGGGATGGGAGCAGGGCAAGCTCACCTCTTGCCTTTTTGAATCCGAGAGATATCCACTGAATCCTTGCTGAACACATCAAACTCGTCGTCCTGGAAAACGTTGCATCGGGCACTGACAAGAGGAGTTGGGTCTGGCTTCACAGGCCTGGCAGGAAGAGTTTTAAAAAAGAAGAAACAGAAACAAGAGTCTTCATTCCCAGGAATACAAAGAAACACATTTTTTCAGGGAACACACCGCTGTTTTAGGACTGCAAAACAGGTGCCTGAATGTGAGACTGCGGGATGGACTGTAGTGAGGAGGTAGATCACCCAGGGAGGAGTGAGGACATTCCAGAGGAGGAAGAGGCAACTCAGCCGAGATACCAGGTGTGAGAGAAAGAGGGCGAAGACAGCTCCTCCTCAAGAGTTCCCAGAGTATATTGTGATACAGAGAGTGGAGTCCTCAGTCTGGCAATACATTATGAAACCGAAAGGAACTTGGCTTGGAAGAATCACCACGTGTCATTCTTCCCGGGAGTTGAAGTCTACAGATGATGGGATGGAATGTATTAAGAAGGCGGATTCCCCAGGAGGGAGGGGCTGCATTCCAGAGGAGTACGAGGCAGCTTAGCCTGGATATTTTGTGTGAGAGAAGTGCTGTTCAGCAGCAGTTGGATAGCTCAGAATTCACATCCCTGAATTTTTTTTTAAAATCCTTCCAACTTTACCTAGGCATTGCTCTGTCAAGCGTCCGTAGGGAGACAGCCAACTTGCCCTCTAGAAGGTTGTTGATGACGTGCTCCACGTTGTAGTTGTACTCCTCCAAGCAGGCCAGGACAAAGCCTTCTCCAAGGTCAGGGAGCAGATCCTTCACCTGAGAGATCAGGGAATCCAGCTCTACGCCAGAGACGGGGGCCACAGGAGCTGCAGCTGCTCCAGCACACTAGACAGGTCAAATCAATAAGCCACATTACATACAGCAGCAGGAGGAAACAGTCAAACCGAGAAGCAGCCTGAATACAACTAAATCAAAAGCAGCAACCATCCATTACCCCAAATTCTGATTTTCTGTCCCACTGCACTGGACTTTTGTGCTCCACAAGGTTATGGTAGATGTCCTCAGGAAGAAGGCAAGCGCTATGTCCTCCCAAACTTTCCTATACATTTTAAGCCGCCTCCTCTGATCTGCCACCCTGCTGGAAATGGCTCTTCCCGAATTCTCAGCTGGCAAAGGGCTGACCTAGATAGGCCTCCCCCCTAGGAGAAGGGCCTAGATCAGCCACAAAGCCACCATTTTTGTTGCAGGCTGACACTCTGCTGCAAAGACTTACCTCCAAGTGATCCTCTTCCTCAACGTGTTCCATTTGCTCTGAGACCCTGGACACTGTAATGGCCCCAGCTGCGGTTTCAGTAAGGGCCGGATCCTGGAGCGCCTTTTTCCTTCTATCCATTTTGTCCCAGGCGCTTTCCACAGCTTGCAAAATGTAGGATGTTCGAGTTTCATCTCTATCCAATGGGGTCAAGGGCAGATTCCCAATTCTCCATATACGCAGAACATTCAATAGCAATAGCACTTTGACTTATATACCGCTTCACAGTGCTTTTACAGTAAGCGGTTTACAAAGTCAGCCTATTTGCCCCCCCCCCCCCCAAACAATCTGGGTCCTCATTTTATCGACCTCAGAAGGAGGGAAGGCCGAGTCTCGAGCAACGGAGTTTATTTTTTCCCCGGTTCTACCTCTGACTACAAAACATGCCCGCCGATATTTTGGGCCTTAACCGACAGTGGATTGACAGCATTCACACCAGTGGCAAAGGATACAGCGCTGAAGAGGCTTGTTGGAGCAGGCTGACATCATCTGCCACAGGGAAGAGCTCGTCATAATCACGGAGAAACCTGAAAGCAGAGAGATGCAAATCCCCCCCCCACTTGTGATTTACAAGGAATAACAGCAACAGAGTTCGAAGGGCCGTGCAGGTCTTCTACTACATGAACCCCAGACTTTTTTAATTAATTTGGAGAGGTTAACCATGTTCCAGAGTTGCATCCAAACCTCTCACCTCGTCTCTTGAAGCACGGAGGTGAAAATCTGCAGGAACTCTTCAATGTAAGCCTGGATACTGTCGCAGCTGCAAGAACAAGATGAGAGTTGCAGATGATCCGTGAAAAGGATACAGACAGTCCGTGTTTACCTGTTCTAATGCTGCAAGGAAGGGGATACTAATTCAAAGACTGAGGTCAGAGCTGCTGCTGAGTTTTTTTTTTTTTTCAACTGCTAAACCAGGGGTAGGCAACCTTGGCTCTTTTATGACTCGTGGACTTCAACTCCCAGAATTCCTGAGCCAGCCATGCTGAAGGGAAAGGGA